GCACTCTCCAGTGAGTCATTCGGCCGCGTCTGAGTGGTTTTCTGTTCGCAGAATCATTTATTTCTGGTGTCAGGGAGGCCCAGGGTGGCTTTTCCCACTGGCTGTAAATGCTCTGAGCATCATCGATTCCTCTACTTCTATCCCCGGAAATCTGCTGGAGCAGCAAGTCTGTCTGGGATTCCTAGCTGGGAGGGCATGGGGCAGGGCAGGGGCCGGGGTGGCTTTGGTTCCCTCTCTCTCAGAGAGGCAAGTGGAGGGATGCTGAAGCCTCCCCAGCTCCCCAGGGAGCAGCCTCATGGTTTGGGCCCTGTGTTGGAGTTTTCTGGTCTGCAACTGGGGGAGTGTGGCTAGCTTGGCTTGTAATGACACCTGACTCTCTTGAAGCTCACCGTATCCCAGGGCCACTGAATGTGCCTGAGCTTAGCTGAGGACTCCCTCAGGGGGCATTCTCTTCCTCTCAAAGATGCCCCCAGATCTCCATTACTCCTGTCAGTAGGCCGCAGGCCATCCAGGTAGGGATGACAGCAAAACCCCAGACAGTAGGCAGGGACACCACCCAGCCCCAGGTGGAGCAAAGAGAATTGGAGCCAATGTGATGCACTCACCTCACATCATGATCATGAGACTTTGGGGACCTCATGCGAAGTTGCCTACATGTGAGTGCCTGTGTGTGTGTGTCTGTGTGTGCAGCATGTGTGGGCCTCCATGGCATCGCTGTGTTTGCTTATGATCCTGTGAGATGAGGTGGGTGCTCATGGGCTTCTATGTGTATTTATGCATGCATGGTCGCCTGGGTGTGCTTTTGAGTAGGTGTCCGTATGTCTAAGTATGCATGTGTGTCTGCGTCTGTGTGTACGCTGGCATGTTTGTATCTACAGTTGTATGTCTGGTGTTTGCATTACTGTGTGCATGCATGCGCATGGTGTTTGTGTGCCTGTGTATCTGTGTGTGTGCATGCTCATGTGTGTGTGTGTGTGTGCACGTGTACTCATAATGGGTGTGTCTGTGTGCATGCATGCTCATGTTTGTGTGTCTGTATGCCTGTGTGTGCATGTTCACTGTGTGTCTGTGCATGCTTATGGGATGTGTGTCTGTGTCTGTGTGTTCACGGCGCATGTGTGCCTGTGTGCATACTCATGGTATGTGTGTCTGTGATGCATGCTCACAGCGTTAGTGTGCCTATGTCTCTGTGTGTGTGCATGCTCGGGGCATGTGTGTGCATTTGTGTGTGCATCCTCATAGCATGTGTGTGCCCATTTCTGAGTGGGATGTGTATGGGGCTTGTGCCTATGCATGCGTAAGGATGCCTGAGAGTGTGCACCTCCCTAATCCTTTTTACACAAAGATTTATGGAAAATTCCAGGATGGAGGTGGTGGCTGGGGAGGGAGACCCACCAGCTATAGTCTCACTGGCCTCAGAGCTGCTCTGGAGCCAGAGGGGACATTTCCCAGGCTCTAAGAGCTTCTCCTGAGAGAAAAAGCATCAATCTGCTTGTCAAAAGGAAAATGGCCATTTGTCCTTGTCTGGAAGGACCCGAGGGCAGGGCTGGACCTGAGTCATTGCTGTCTCCTGGGCCCAGCACCAACTAGGGTAAGTGACGGATGAGCTCAGGGACTGGCCCGCTGTGCATCCTGGGGGCTGACTCGGGCAGGCAGCCTGGTGGGGGTGGGCTGCAGCCTGGAGGAGGTGGGAGGTCAGGAGAGGCGTGGGCTGAGGGTGGAGGTTGTGTTGGCGCTGCCTCAGTTCACAGCTTGGGCAAGAGGCTGGAGATGATGGGTGAGCCTCGAGGGTGGGGTGGGGCCACATTCCTTACCAATGGACCAGGAGGAACATGGCAGCTCCATACCTAGAGACACTCCCAGCCCTGATCCTTGGCAGGCCCTACTGTCAGGAGGCCCTGGGTGGGAAAGGGTCTGATTGGGAGTTTTCCTAGGGAAGGGACAGCTCCCCTCTGTTTCCTCACCTTTCCCCTGCACTGTCACCTCAGTGTCCTGGGCAATCCTTGCAGGTCTTCCCATCTGGGTGGGTGTCTGCTGTGTGACTGCCTGAGAAAACTGATGAACTTTGAGATCAGTCCCTGGTCCTGGGGGGCATGGCTCTGCCACTGACCCCTGACCAGAGGTGCCTCTCTCTGGGCCTCTATCCCCTCCTGTGCAGTGAATAGGGCCCTTTCTGGTCTGCCCATCTATGATCCCAGGGATGGTATGGGCTTCCTGGGAGCAGGAGGAGTGGGGACACCCCTGTGCATACTCTTTACCTCCTTCCCTTTCTGTGATTTGCCCTGCAAAGATGAGGCTGCTGTCCCGGTGTATCTTACAGAAGAATCCCTTCCTATCAGGATAGTCCAGGCCTCATGACACCCCAGAAGTGAGTGGGCAGGAGCCTGTGGTCACCTAGTTGATCCATCTGGGGGTGAGTGGGTAGAGGAGGGAGCCATAAGCTAGGGCTCATATGGAGTGGATGAGGATACACAAGGGCACAGCTAGACGACTCCTTCCTCCTGGTACAAGTGACTCTTCAGCCAGTGAGGAGAGCGAGCACGTTGCACATGTTCATTTGGCTTGTAAATCTGATGTTGACTGAGCCCTTACTCTGGGCTAGGGCCTCTCCTTCGGCCCAGAGGAAACCAGACCATTTTCAATCTTTGAGGCTCCTGGTATATTGAGAAATGAAGGTCCTACATTGCTGCCCTTCTGTAGTTCTCTTCTTGTTGAATCTGGACCAGTCTTGTGGCTTGCTTGGGCAATAGAATGCAGCAGAAGGGACATCATCCAAGTTCTGAGGCCGAACCGTAAGGAGCCTTACAGCTTCTGCTTCCAGTCTCATGTTGCCCTAAGACTCCCTGTAAGGGAGCCCATGCTAACTTGCTTGAAGATAGGAAGCCCTATGGAAAGAGAGTGAGGCCCAGCCCACTCTCAGCCATGTCAGTCATCCTAGCTGGACCTAGGCAGGTGAGCGAGGCCATCTTGGTTCCTCTACCTCCAGCGGAGTTACCAGCTGGCTGGAAGTGCATGAGTGAGTCAGCTGAAACCATCTGTTGCAGAGACAAGTTGCTCATTTCAAGACTTCTAATTTTATGCCACTAAGTTTTGGGATAGTGTTTTTTGTGTGTGTGTGTAGCAGAGGCTAACTGAAATAGAAACTTGAAATAGGAGTAGAGGTGCTACTATAGCAAAAATTTAAAACATATGGCAGCTGGGCACCGTGGCTCAAGCCTGCTATCCCAGCACTTTGGGAGGCTGAAGCAGGAGGATCGCTTGAGGCTAGGAGTTCGAGGCCAGCTTGAGGAACACAGCAAGATCCCAACCCTAAGAAAATAAAAAATAAATTAGCTGAGTTTGGTGGCTCACCCCTGTAGTCCTAGATACTTGGAAGGCTGAAGCAAGAGGATTGCTTAAGCCCAGGAGTTTGAGAGTGCAGTGAGCTGTGATCCTGCCACTGCAGTCCAGCCTGGGCAATAGGGCAAGACTCTGTCTCTAAAAATAAGTAAATAAACAAAATAAAAATAAAATACATAGATAGACTTTGGGACTTCATGGCAGCTGGAGGATGAAAGGATGACAAAGAAACTGTTAGTGGGGGATGGGAGAACACTGAGGACACAGTGACTGGAGGCTGGAGAAAAGGCAATCTGTGTTATGTCACACAATCAGCGTCACGTGCAGGATAGAAAATGCAGCTAACAAACCTATGGATCTGGCTATAGAGATTTCCAGGGAGAATATTGAAAGTGCCCATTGGCTTCGTTTAGCAGCATAAGATGAAGTATCATAAGGGAGAGAAGAATTCAAGAAGGAGCTGTTCAGTTTTCAAGCAAAATCTAGAGGCAATATAGACAGTCTAGGACAGTCTCTCCAGCAAAAGATACTCAAGATAAGAAATGGCCCAGGGTAAAGAATGAATCAATATTGTGGCTGCATGACTCTGTTTAGACCTTAGAAAGATTTAAGCCAGTACCTTTAGATCCTCTTAGCTAGACAAAGGAGCTACAGAAACAATCTGGACACCAATCCAAAGTGAAAGAGATGTAGCTTGGAAAGCATTACAAACGTGGCTTTTGAAGCATGGAGTCGCTCCCAGTCAGATTCATAAGAAACCCACACACAAAAATGAGAATTGTCCTGGCAAAAATTAGTAATAATAATAATACCAGCTTGGATTAAAAGGGACAGGGGCTAAGTGTGGTAGTTCATGCCTGTAATCCCAGCACTTTGGTAGGCTGGGGTAGCAGGATGGCCTGAGCTCAGGAGTTTGAGAGCAGCAGCCAGGGCAACATAACGAGAACTTGTCTCCACTAAAAAAAAGTTTTTTGTTTTTTTTAAATTAGTCAGATATGGTCGCATGCACCCAGTTACATGGGAGGCTGAGGTGGTGGATTGCTTGAGTTCGAGGTTGCAGTTAACTATGAGCACGCCACTACACTCCAACACTCCAGCCTGGGGGACAGAGAAAGACCCTGTCTCAAAAATAAATAAATAAACACAAAGAAAAAGACAGAAACAACAAAGTAAAAAAAATTTCTAGGCTTTCAACATTGTACAGGCAAGAAGCAGAGATCCAGCTGTAAACTCGATCTATTAATTTTTGGATAGGAAAGATGTCTGAGATGGTGGAGGCCAGAGAACCGAAGGATACCATAGATGAGGAAGTCACTCCCAGGAGGCAGAAAATAGGTCCTAGTCAGAGGAAACTCCTGGCCTTTAGAGTTGAGGGGACTGATGACATCTGCCCAACTAGATTTCAAATCACTATGAAATAGTGACTACATGTACCTCCGACTTGCCCCTCCCCTTTATTAGATTAATTAATTAATTAATTAATTAATTCAGAGACAGGGTCTCACTCTGTCACCCAGGCTGGAGTTCAGTGGCTGGATCATAGCTCACTGCAGCCTTACACTCTCGGGCTCAAGGGATCCTCCTGGGGGAACTGGGACTATAGTCACATGCCACTATGCCTGGATAATTTATGTTTTATTATTTCATTTTATTTTTTGCAGAGATGGCATCTTGCTACGTTGCCCAGGCTGATCCTGAACTTCTGGACTCAAGTGATCCTCCCACCTCAGCCTCTCAAAATGCTGCGGTTGCAGGCACGAGTCACTGTGCCTAGCCTACCCCCCACTTTTAGATGGGGGTTTCTCTTGGGGAATAACCTACCTCCATCTCATTATGGTATGTTAAGTGTGTGGAGCTCAAATAACTTGTCTTTTTAACTCCTAAGTCTTTGGATCAACATAAGCTCCACCCAATAATACCTAAGGAGCCCCATCAGCCTCCGCTTCTGTGGTCTCTGATGTTCCTCTGCTTCTGTGCTATTTGTGGGGAACAAGAATTGCTTCACAGAAGCCCTAATATCTTGAGTGACACTTTCTATAGGGGAAGCACAGGCAGCCCTGCTGGATTCTGTCTTCCCCCTGCAATCTTCTTCTTTTTTGAAGGATAGCACATGTTCACAACTGTGTTATCACTCTATTGGCTGCTTTCCTGCCTATAGAATCCCAGAATAATGGCAGCTTTCCTTCACTTTTTTCCTGTCTCTGTTCCATTTAGTCCAAGCTGGTAGTGTTGTTGGTGGCATGACATTCTCAAAATCCTTGTGGGTCTCCTGTGTATATTAAGAGCATCCACTTCATTAGACACAAGAGCTCTTTACAGATCCTTCCTCGGTAGTCCCATCTGTATTCCTGGCTCCTGCTGAGATGGTTGGTTGGGTCTATGATTTGTACATCTAACGGCCCCAGCAGAAGCTTGCTCAGCCACACTCTTGGTGTTCGCTTTAGAGCATGCCTTAGCATCTCTTATAATGTGGATGAGTGGAGAATATTCCAAATCATCAAGTTCTGGTTCCTTTATCCTTAGTAGCTCCTTCTCAATTTATCTTTTTCCCCTTGCATTTTACTAAAAACAGCAAGGAGAAACCAGACCGCACCTTCCATATTTTGCTTGGAAATCTCCTCGGCTAGAGATCCAAGTTCATCGCTTACAAGTTCTACTTTCCACCCAGCACTAGCACAAAACTCAGCCAAGTTCTTTGCCACTCTCTCCTCCAGTTTCCAGTGATGGGCTCCTTATTTCCATCTCAGACCTCACCAGAGACATCTTTAATGTTCGTGTTTCAACCGGTGGTCTGTTCATGACAACGTACGTTTTTTCTAAGATGATAGGTGCTTTCTCTGCTGTCCTCTTCACTTCATTCTGAGCCCTCAACAGAATATGCCTTAATGCCCATATTTGTACTGATAATCTCCTTAAGACAATCAGGACTTAAAATTCCTCCAGCCTCTGCCCATGACCCAGTTCCAAAGCCTTCGTACATTCTAGGCAGCAGCACTTCTTGATACCAAAATCTGCATCAGTTTCCTAGAGCTGTTGTAACAAATTACCACCAACTAGGTGGCTTAGGCCAATAGAATTTTATTGCCTCACAGTTCAGGAGGCCGGAAGTCCAAGAGTAAGCTGTCCGCAGGGTTGGATCCTTCTGGAGGTTGTGAGGGAGAACGTGTTTCATGCCTCTCCCCGGCTTCCGGTGGGCACTGGCAATCTTTGGCACTTCATGTCTTGCAGTTACATCACTCCAATGTCTGTCTCCATCTTTACATGACTGTCTTTCCCAAGTTTGTCCTCTTTGTCACTTTATGGCTTTCTCAGAAGGACACCAGAAAGTCCACCCTAATCCAATCTGACGTCATTTTAGCAAATGACGTTTGCAACAACCTTATTTCCAAATAAGGTCACATTCTGAGGTACTGGGGTTGACATGCATTTTGGGGGGACACTATTCAACCCTGTACAAATATTAATTAATTTCTTAACTCCTACAACCCTCTGAAGAATACTTGCACTGATGCAAGAGAGGAATGGATTTATTTCAAAAGAGACCATAGGAAATGCCTGGTCCCATGTTTGACCCAAGGCTGTGATACCCTCCATAGTATTCATTGTAACCATTCTCCTCTTCCTGGGATTTTTCAGTGCAGTGTTCCCTTGTTATCCCATCTTAAAATTCAACCCCTCTTTTTTTTTTTTTGAGATGGAGTTTCACTCTCGTTACCCAGGCTGGAGTGCAATGGCGCGATCTCGGCTCACCGCAACCTCCGCCTCCTGGGTTCAGGCAATTCTCCTGCCTCAGCCTCCTGAGTAGCTGGGATTACAGTTCAACCCCTCTTTTACCCTGATTGGGATTGACACTAAGTCCCTTGCTCTTGCTTTATTTTCTTCCTAGCATTTATTGCTATTAACAAAACTTATATTTTACTTATTTCTCTCGTTTATGGTTTAGCTCCCCCACTGGGATAACCTCTGTGAAGGCAAGGGTGTTTGTCCATTTATTCACTTCTATATCTCAGCGCTCAGAACAGTGTCTGATGCATAGTAGGTGCTCAATAAGAACCTGCCATGTAACTGAATGCATGCAGGAATGAAAGGACTCCTGGGAACTGGGCATCTAGCTGGGCAGGGAGCTAGACAGGGAGCCCATTCTTTTGGACAAGGAGCCCGTTCTTTCACTGGGCAAATTTTGCCATTTTAAGTCATTTAATGAATCCTTGATCCTTACAAGAGGCAGGACCAGGCCTCCAGAGTCCTTGCTTTGAGCCCCATGGGTCTGTTGGACAGTTTCAGAATCTTAGGAAATAATTGGGGTGGTTAGTTGGCTAGAGGAGAAAATAAAATAAGAGCTGGGATTCTCTGGGGCTGCTGCTGACCCTCTGGGTCACCTTGACACCTTTGTTCTGTCTCTCCTGGCCTCTGGCTCCCTGACCTCAGCCTCCTTCACTTGGCTATCTGGAAAGCAGTTACTTTCTCTCCTGGCCCCCCGATTTCTCGCTTTGTCATGTGGGAATTAAAGACAAAAAGTCTTAAAATCACTTTGAACTCCATGGAGGGTGCCAACTAATCTGAGGGCATTATTAGTAAAAGACAATTCCTTTGAAAACGGAAATTGCTGTATCACACAATCTCCCAACCACAGGGTGGAATTAATGAGCAATTTGCTCAAGATTCACAACTTCAAAATGATCTTCCAGGTGGCCAAAGGAAATTCGCATTTACACTTCAATCAGAAATTTTTGTGTAGAATGTAAGGGGGAGGGTTTAATTTTCTGAAATCACAAATGGCTATCCCCATCCCAAGAAGAGAGCCTGTGATAAAGACCACCCGGTATTTGTGAACTCTCCAGCTAATTACAAAAGTGAATCTAATTTCACGGATTTCAGCTCCTATTAATTTATCCTGAGCTTGTTGGTAATGAAGCCATGTGTTTGTTCCTTAAGAAGGAAACATCAGAGAGGAAAAAATGGGTGTGAGGCTATACTGTTTATTCTCGTACCTTCATTCTATTAGTTGAGGAAATAACATATGATTTCATGTCTATTACAATGTCATCGACACAGCACTTGCTTTGGCTGCTGATGGAGCCCTGTGTGCTTATCCCAAATGGACTTACAGTGTCTGCCACAGCTAAGAAAGAAGGAATAACTGACTGGGACGTGACCAGCAGGGGCTACTACCTTTCCAGTTCCCACTGCTTCATTCTATCCCATAATATTCAGCAAACGTCTACTGAACACTTTCCATGCTCCAGGCAAGCTAGACTTGGACAAGACAGCTAGGGATTTTAGAACCTATGTACCACCATCTTAAACACATAAGTATTCAAAATAATTATTTACAATTGTGATAAGCGCTTTGAAAAAGAAGTAGTGTGTTTCGTACGTCCCCTTCTCACATATATATCTTGTTAGCCAGCTAGAGAGGAAGTTTAAGACATCAGAGACTAGCCCGAGCCTTCTGTCATAAATCCTCTGTAATCATGACAAGACAAAGCTCACCGTGGTACCTAGATATTACCTAGAGTATTAACTGCTCAGAGTTTAGCAGCAGAGATTAGTAAAGGTAAGTAAATGTTCTAATAAATGTAAGATTCTGAAACAGACTAGTATCAACAGTATCTGGACAAACTTGGCACTAACCAAAGCAAAGAGGAGGCTCCGGCCTCTGAGATGAGAAGGTTCATTCCCAGATACAATCCAGAGACTGACAAGAGTAGACAGCGGAGTTCAGCTCAAGACAGACATGTTACATCCCAGCCCCATGGCCAACATTAGCTACTTGTTTCGGGAAATTTACATGTAAGATTTTCCCAACACCAGCCATGGTTAGAACTTTAGTCCCAAGGGAAACCTGCCATTCATTCCAGGGAAGTGTGGGTGTTGACAAGGGAACCCTTGCAGGAGGGTTCTGCAGGTGTTCTCTATCCTGCCCAGTAAGGCTTGGATATGGGAGTGAGCCGTGTGAGGGCGGCCATGCAAACAGGGACGAGATCCCCTGATGTGGAAGATTCTATCTTCCAAAAGTGGCCACAATCTCTTTCCTGTTTTTTGAGAACTTGCCACTGCTCCATCAAGATGTGGATTCTGTGTCTCCTCTCCTTGAAGCTGGGTGGTCCTTTGTGACTGCCTTGATGAACAGAATGTGGTGCAAGGGACGCTGCCTGACTCTGAGTCTAGGCCATGAAGGGAGATGTGACATCTGTCCCACTTGCATTTGCCTCTCTCTCTCTCTCTCGGTCTCTGTCTGTCTCTCTGTGCTTGCCCTTGGAACCTAACCTCCATGGTGTGAGGAAGCTCAGGCCATGCAGAGAGACTACAGAAGACATGAGGGGAAATCTGCAGGGGGACTTTTGAGAAAGGTTTTCTCACTCTAATAAGTAGCCCAGGAAGAGATGGTTTCTCTTCTTTGTCCAGCTGTGATGCCTGGGAACTTCTGTGGCCACCTTGCTTCCAGCCAATACACAGAGTAGGGCAACTCTCAGAAAACCCCCAAGAAGAGAATTGGAGTGTGAAATACACTGCCTGGAATCCTGTCTTCCCAACTTTGGGCTTCCGGATCTATCAGGTAATAAACTCCCTCGCGTGCTAAGGTACTCTGAGTTGCAGCGTTCAGTTACTTGTAACTGAAGTAACCTTCTCACTGATTTGGAATTTGCTCCCTGATGGCTTTGGTCAGTTTCTGCCCTCTCTGTGTGTTCTGGGGGCCCGGGCTCTCCCACAGGAGTCATTAGGCTGCAGAGAGCCCAGCAGAGCTGTGCTTTGAGAGTCAGAGCAGAGACTTCTGGAGTTGGATCCATTTTCTAGGAATATTCATGACTTCAGCAGAACCTGTTTTATTATTT